GGGCGGGGCGCCCGAATTGCGACAGTTTCGGGAAGATAACCGGATAGCGTCTGAAGCAGCGGCGCGGCGAACGAGGGAGAGGGGGAGCGAACAACGCACACATGGGGAGAAATGACAGGGCGGCCTCAGGCCCCCAGAACTAGGGAAAACGAGGAAGGATTGCTCCAAACAGCGGAGCAATGTCAGCATGTCCCCAGCCGCAACCAAAGACACAACATTTGGCCTGATGGCGGTACCTTCGCCCCGTGCCCCAAGGGTTCATTATGATCTTCAGCGCGACGCCCAACGCAAGCGGCTGCGTGTTGTTTCGTCCAACGCCCCCATCTAAGCGCACCAAGGCCAGCAGCAGCACGGGAAACAGGCCCAAGAAATCCCACCATACGCAGCAGGATGATATCACCAGTGTACTTGTTTATCCCCAGCACCTTAATTCAGATAAGTCGTTGTGGTCATCCACGCCCTCCCCCCGCAATGCCTTCAAAAGGTATGAGTTTATAGATCGACCCCAGGCGCGCACCATTCGGAAACGATGGAGTCCATCATGTATACTTCAGACCCCCTAGCAAATCTTAACCCGATCGCCCCAGGAAACATCTCGAGGCAACTTGGCACGGCGTGGAAGTTCCCAGGGTCGCACGGCTGCGCGGGAAAGAACGGCGCGGGATACGATCTCTTGCGCCGCGCGCTGCTCTGGTGCGCACAGGCTCTGCAGTATTCAAAATGCTTGGGGCGAGAAAATATAGCGGAGGTATGATGCGAGGAGATACCAAGCTTCCCTCGCAGTTGTGCGACCACGTTCGGCGGCGAAGTAGCATCGAGCGACGCGGGAGGGGTCGGGAGGGCCATGCCGACTGCGCAGCGCGATGCTTCGACGCGCCCCTAGTCCTCGGCCGTGGATTTCTTTGGCCCGGGCTGGAAGAGTCAGTCGTGGATGCCAGCGCCCACGCGGGCTGCCTCGCGCCGAGCCCGACAGGACTGCCTGGCGCTGCGGCCGCGCCGTCGAACAGAAACACCAAAAAACAAAGCTCCCAGACCCGTCGCAAAAAGGCCGCCTTGTCACCTCCACCCTCTCCATGCCCCTAAAAAAACCAGGACGTCGCACTTCTCGCAGTTGAACCCCAGTCCAGCGGGCGACCCAAGTGCTGGAATAAGGTCAACCACAGCAGGGACTACCCCGAATAGAACAAAAATATGACTTTCGGTCATTCTATGACAGAAAACAAGCAAAAGCCAAGGGGGCTGCGGGGAATCTATTTTTCAAGCTTCCAATCGCCAGACTCAGCGGGCCAATCGCGAAAACCCAAAAGCATCGCACTTACAAGGCATCCCCGCGCCTTGCACTGAATCCAAGATAGAGATGGGTGCCGATCTGAATGAGACAGCGGACCTGCAGATGAACACTCAGGATGGCATTCCGGGCGGTCAGGGGGGCCGATGCGCCCGCTGCGCGCGGAACAGCCAACGCAGACGACGCGGCGGAAATGCTGCCACCTGGTCGAACGCGGCCCCGCCAACCCTGGGGCCCCCGCCCCCGCTCAGGGCGACCCGCGTCGGCAAGGGGCCTGGGCGTCCCAACGCGCTCTTCAGCGTCATCCTACCTGCAACGAAACTGCTTTGAATCGCGCGCAAAGCTCCCCGAACAACTCCCTCCGGCGGGGGGGGGGGGGGCGACGGCGGCGGCCGCCAACCTCTCATCCGCGCCGCCGCGCGCCGCGGGGCGGGCGTTTTCCGGCGACTTCGCCGCGCGACCATCGCCGCGGGAGCCGCCCGCCGGCAGAAGACAAGCCGGCAACGATGAGAAGTTGCACGCCGCACGCCGCGCATCAGAATGCCGCATCATCAGATACTCGCAGTGACGTCGCAGACTATCTGCGCCGACTTCGCCACCGCGCTGCCGAACCGCACTGGGCAACCCATCGAGGCCAGGAGCAGCGTCCACTTTGGACGCAACCAGGCGCCGAAACTGACCAGGGGGACAAATTCCAGGCGAACTATTGCCAGGTGGAGCGCGTGCATCGGTAGTCGTCAATACCACATATTCGAAATGTAGTCTGGTCCACAATTCCCGCGAAGCACATTCGGCGCCGCCCCCAACGCGTGCTTCTGTGGTCCGGGGAGCGGGGGGGGCCTTCCTGCCGGCGTCGCGATCGCACCCCTCAATCGTCTGCCTCGTCAGCTCGCCGAGGCGAGTGTGAAATATGGCGGCGCCCCTCCAGGCGCCGACATGGGCGTCCAAGAAATCGCGGAGCCCGTCGTGGGCCTGGGCGGCCTGCCCAGTTCCGCCCGAATATCCCACCCTCAAGTCTCCTAGCAGATGCGCGCGGAATTGCGCACTTGTCGAACGAGCCTTGGCCCTCGGCGGCCCGGGAGCACGCGAAAAGCTCGGCGCCCAAGGCGGCGCGTCCGTTCCGGCCCCTTCAACTCTGAGAGCCTGGCGGGACTGCCCTCTGCATTTCCCCGATCATCAGCGACTTCGTCGAGCGCGTTCCTGGGCCTCCTGCGCCGAGCAATCAACGTGGGAATGGTCTGAAACTTCGGATTCCCACCTTAGGGGGGACATTGGGAGGAGGAACCAGGAATGCACGGCGCGGTCTGAGGCCCCGTCGAAGTTCTAAAATTGCCCACAAGCGCCGGCATGGGGGGAGACGTCCAGGACCCCCAGCGTAAACATTTTCGCGCATGCGTGATCTAGACAAGCCAGGATCATCGCGTCGATCGCCTGCGCTCGACAGGCTGCGAAATTTCAGCGGCGCCCCGGGAACAAACGCGCCCCGGGAACAAACGAGTAGAATCCACCCTTTCGCGGCCGTCGCGCACGCGGAGGCGGCCGTCGCCGCCCTCGAAACACTTGTAGTCGCTCGGCGTGAAAGCCGCGCACTTGCGCGGAGGGAGAGAGAGCGTCGGCGAATCGCACCCATATGCTGTCTGATCTGCTGCTCGGGAGGGCAAGGGGGCGAAGTGAACGTCGCACATCAGCGTCAGGATGCGAGACCACGCGCAAGCACTGGAACAAAACTTTCGCGAATCGGGTCGCCACCTTCTCAAAAACGCAAACGATGGTGCCTTCAGACCCCGCGGCGGTGCAAAAAATCGCAATGCATGTGAATATAGGTGCCCCTCTGGCGCGTCAGCAATTCTCCCGGGGGGGGAACGCGGGTCTCCTTGGAACACGCGCGCGCAAGCCATGTTTTTGAATAACAGATTGAAGGCTCGCCGACGCACGCTGTGGGGAGATATGATCACCCCCAAGAGCCCCGGAGAACGCGCGACTGTTCCAAGACACCAAGCCAAAACGTTCGGACGGGACAAACACATGAATCCTTGGGGCGCGAAAAGACCGCGAATAAGTAAAGGGCATGATGAGAGCGTAGGACACGACAGTCGTCAATCAGGTGGATTCCATAGCTGGGTGCGCAAGTGCCATGCCATCGCAGAACTCGGCGCTCTGGTAGCCAACGTCGTTGCGGCTGACGCTGGCCAAAACTTTACCACCTACTGAGAGATAGCCCCCCCCCCCCTCCCCGTGCCGAACACCTCCTGGCTGGGCTCGATGGCGATGGTCTCGCGCCCGTTCAGAAACCCCGCCGGCCTTGCCGCGACTAGTTCCCATGTGCCTTCGCCACTGCTGACTCGGAGTACACCTTCGTGCCACGCGACGCTCCGCCGACAACTGGGCGCCCACCATGTCTCCGATGCCCGTGTATATGGCGGGAAAGGCTCGACTGCGACCCCTCGCATCCAACGGGGCATCTCTGTGCGCCTGCGAGCCCGCGCGTCCAGCGGAACATCTCCACGCGCTGTCGAATTGAATTGGGGCGGGTTCCGCGGGTCCACCTTTATGTTTCTGACTCGATTGAACTAGCCCTTGGATTCGTTCGCTGCGCTCTCTGAACTGAACGGGGCCTTGTAATTCATCGCCACCTTGTCGCGCGCGGCCCGGGTGTCATCCGTGAGATACTGAAGGCGCGCGCGGCTCGATCGATTCGACGTGAATTTCGCGAATTCGAGCCAGCAGCGGACGAGAAGAGACACCGATAACTATGATGTTGCTGCTTCTTTGCTCGATCTGTTGTCATCAGGCACCTTGTTGAAACCTCCGCATGAGTCCTTCTCTCGCACCAGACGCAGAGCGAGTCCTGGCCTCGTCTGTCCGAGCCTGTTGTCGTTCCCACCCACGCTCTTCCTCGCGTCGCCCGCCATGGGAAACGCGATCCTCTTTTTCATCTGCTCCAACAATCCACCGCGTGCCAAAGCGAGAAGAAGTGATTGGGTTTCAAAGCTCGTAGGCTAAGCTTCAAGCGCCCCAGGGCGGCTCGCGCGCGCCTGGCCGGCGGGGCGCGAGCCGAGGTCGGAGATTTGGGGGGGGCGGGCCCCTTGAGCCGAAATGGCCGCGGACCCCCGGAAGGAGGAGGGGGAGGGAAAGACAGGGAAGGGCACGTCGATGACTCCGTTGAGGGGCGGCTAGGCCACGCCCCCACGAGAGCCACGAACTATACTATATGGCTATATCCGGGGCCCTGGCGGCCCGCGCTCGCCGATAGGGGCCCCCGCGCGGGGGTGGCGGGGGCCATGGAAATTAGCGAGATCCGTTAATCGGACGCGGTTAGGGGCCCAGGTCACTTGCCCCAGGCAGTCGCTCAGCAGCGCGGGCGCCTGGCGAGTGGATGCCGATCCACCGCGTCGCAAACAAACGCACGGGCCCTCGGTGACCAAGTGGCGGCCGCGGAAAAGCCCGCAGTGGGGCTCGGGGTTCCGAGGCCCGCAGGAACCTGGGGGGGGCCGGGCTGGCCACCGAGGCCAGCCCCCGAGGGGGTGCCCCCCTGTCGGACACCACAGGGCCACAAGGGGGCCCCCGCCCGCGCGGCGCGCGGGCTCGGCAGGCCCTCGAGCCCGAACCACCATGTCCTGCAACCGCGTGGGAACGCAAGTGCTGGAAGCCCGACGGGCCCTGCTGGCGTCCGCGGGCGCCGACGCACCACGCCACCTGCACCGCGCCGCGCCTCCGAGGCGCTCGAGGTCGTGGCCCGAGTCGACTCGCTGCGCAGGCCTGGCATTCGACACTGGGCGAACGCGGGGCAGCGCGAGCAAGCTGGCAGCTTCTGCGTGCTCGCCAACTTCTGATATGAGCCAGGACAAGGCCTTCGCCCCATCGTTGGCATCGCTGGGCTTCACCTCGAACAAGTCTCGCAAGGTGTCTAGCGCACTGCGCGGGCAAGCTCCCGCCTCGGCGAAGAAATCAGCCCGACTCGTTGCCTCCAAATCCTCGGCGAACCGCCCGGGCTGGCCGAGGAACGTCTCGAGGTCGAGGCGCGCAGGGCGCCAGCGCGCCGCAGGCCTGCAGCGCCTTGCTCCTGCATGCACATCCGTGAGCGCGAAGATGGCCCTCCAGATTTCCGCGCGCACGCTGCCCGAGGCCGCCTGGCCCTCGCTCCAGGCGTCGATCTCGCGCGCCAAGGCCGCCAAGTCTGTGGCCGCGAAGCGGAGGTGCGGCATGTGCAGCAGGGCCTGGTGCAGCGCGTGGCGCTCAGCGCATCCGACTGTCTGGCGCGCGCCCGGCAGCGCTCCAAATGCCGCGCGAAGCGGGGGGGGGCGTCGCAGCTTACCTGCGCGAAGGCCCATCCACACTTCGTTAACTCTGGCCAAGCCGTCTCGTAGCCCGACCCGTGCCCGATGACCTCCGGCGGCGCCGTCAAGATGTGGATCACCTCCCCCAAGTCGGCGCAGAGGTGCAGGCTCGAGCGCATGCCCCAATTGATCCTGCGAAGGCTCAGCGACGCGGCGGCGAGGGGCCCGCGGGCACCATGCCAGCTCGGGGCCCCCGCCTGCCAGCTGTCGGCCAGTGCCTGCCGAGCTCGTTGGAGCTGGCTCAGGACGAGCTTGCCGTCCCAGGCGTGGGCGCAGTAGTGGGCCACAAGAGCGATCGTTACGACGAAGACGCGATCCATGCACGGGCCCCGCTGGGTGGCCAGATAGATCGTGGTGGAGCCGCAGTTCCCCCCGCCTTTGCCACAGGACAGCGAGATCGCGGAGTACCGCAGCGACCTGAGCTGCTCATCCGCGGCCCCTGCGACCGCCGTCCCATGGCCTGCAGAGGGGGGCAGCCCCGTCCGCCACAGGGCCTGGATGCGGTCTCCAGCAGCTCGGCGCAGCGCCAGCGCACGCGGCTGGCGATCCCCAAGCTTGGCGAGGCGGCGCTTGGCCACCGTCCGCACCACTCCTCGCCCGTGGGTGTCGTGGCCCAGGTTGCGCGCGCCCCTCCGCTGGGGCAGCTGCAAGACGCGGGCCGCCCTCGAGAACCCACGAACTGCAGCGGTAGTGGTGCCAAGTCAGCCCGACTTGTCGAGCTTGATGGTCATGCCGAGCGGCTCCACATCCTCCATGAAGCCCAGAAAGGCAGCGTTGAGCGCACGGGCGCCAGCTTGAACATGCTGTCCAATCCACTGCATAGCGAAGTCGTCCATCAGTGCACGTGGCCGAAGAACCTCATCGGAAATGCTCCGGAGCTCCGTGATGAAGAGAAACAGGAGCACCGTGAGCAACCCTGCGCTGTGCGTGCAACCCGCCAAGATGTTTTGGCTAACGCACACCTGTTGTGACCAACAGCCATATGCCTGGATGGTCCTAGGTATCCTGAAGTAGGTGAGCAGCTGCCAGACCAACCTCAGTGGGAAGTCACACGCCCGAGCCTCCTGGAGCAGGGCGTCCAGCATCACGCTATCGAAGGCCTTGTGCAAGTCCAGGATTACCATCAGGCTGGACTGGCCCAGGAGGTGCGCAATCTCAGCATCCAAGTTGTGGCTGAACGCGGAGTCGATGGACGAGCACCGTTTCGATAGCCCGATTATGGAGGAGTGCTTGTGCTGCTTGATCCAGTCTCTGGACAGCGGATGTCGCGACATAGTTCAGCTCAGAACCTGCATGGAGGACAGGGCGATGAGCCTCGAGCCGCCGTCCTCGTTGGGGATCCTGACCATCACGTTGACGATGCGGTCCGACGGCCAGGATAGGAGGTCCTCGCACCTCATAAAGAGCGCTGCCAAGGTGTCGAACAACTTGCTAGACATGTACCAAAGGTCACGCGGATGCATCTTGCCATGCCCTGCAGCCGTCTTCTTGCTGAAGGTGAGGGTGGCATCGCGGAGATGCTGCCCATCCAGCAACGGCAACGCCGGCCACAGGTGAGCATCACCTGGCAAGGAAAGCCATCGGGCATCACCACTGGTCCAGATGGCCTCCCACTCGTCCATGGCCAGGTCAGCCCTCGCGTAGGGGTCCAGCATGATTTCGTCCTGCCCGAAGGAGATCAGGAGTTCCTGAGTTCAGGAGGAGGAGGGCACCGAACCCTGGAGCCACCAGCGTCAGCATCAGGAGAAGGAGACGAGGAGGAGGAAGAGGAGCAAGAGGAGGAGAGCGAGGAGGAACCAGCCCGCTGGGGCGCGCGCCGGCGGGAACACGCCGCGCGTTGTGGGGCCGAAGATCTCGCCTGCGCCCGCCCGGGACTGCCAGGCGCGGCCGCCGAGGCCCAGCCATGACAGGCAGGAGACGGAACAGGAGGCTCGATTATCGAGGTGTGAAGGCCTCCCAGATGGGGTCCCAGTCAGATGGGGTTAGAGGGTCGCACCGCATCGCCGATGCATCGCTGATACAACGTCGGCGATGTAATGGGCGACGCGAAAGTGGAAGAAATCAGGATCCACATCGAGCCGCATCGCCAGTGCATCGGCAATGCGGAGGGCTCCGCCGACCCCATCTAACTCAGACCCCATGTGGGATGACTGCAGACAAGCAGGAGGAGGAGGAGCAAGAGAATCGAGCACCGAAGATCGGGATTCAAGAACCAGCGTCGGTATGTTTGACTCGGAGGTCTTCGAGAGTTCTGGAAGTTCTCGTCGCCACGGCTGAACGCAGCTCGGAAAACTAGCCAGAATGAGCCCTGTGAGGGAGTGGAAGCCTTGGTGGAAGCCTTTCGAGAATCAAGAATGGGGATTCGTAAGGGCTTCCTCGTGGATACGAAGGAGCCCCGAGTGAATATTGAGGATGCCCGACGGGAAGCGAAGGACCAGCCATGGCACCAAAAGGATGTCCTGAGGGATCCTGAGGGGTTCATGAGGAAACCCGCAATAATCCGAAAAGGTTCCTCTAGGCATCCGGGCGCCCCCGTCGCCACTGCCACATCTGCATCGAGACTCTTGCCCAGGACTCGCCCCAGAGCAGCTTGCGGGGCTCGATATTCGGGGGAGGACCGAGGTTCTGAGACCCCTGGCCGTCGACAACCGCCCCCGGGGTAGGCCCCCGTGCAGGGGTCGCACGGCCCAGGGGCAACACGTCCAGCAGGTCAGGGGGGGTCCTCACCGCTTCCCGGCTCTGGCCAGACGCCCGTCGCTCCGCCGGCTGACCCAAATGCCCTAACAGCCTCCTCTCCCCCTACCCGAATTCAACACCCGCGTATCGCAACCGCCGCCACTCCAACACCGCGTGGAGAGAGAAACGGGTAGAAGGACTGGGAGAAAGAGAGAGAGAGAGACAAAACAAAAAAAACAAAAAAAGACAGAGAGATACGATCCTTATATTTATTTACTTACAAATGCAGAAGAGGAGAAAAAGAGAGAGGCAAAGTGAGAAAGGCCAACAGAAACGGAGTGATGAGGCGAGGGGCGAGGGGAGACTGGACCGATGGGCGCGATGATCTGAACCGACGGAATAGAAAAATAATTGGATCGGATGGAGGAAACGGAGAGGGGAAGAAGACACGGCTCAACTTCTCACTCGCCTCCAAGACCGAACACGCGATTCACCCTTTCTTGATGGGTGCATGCGCTGCAGGTGTTTGACGCCTCCACATGCCCGCTTCAACATGGTGCTGCAGAATTTTGGCGTTACGGATGCGATTGCAGACGAGCGGGTATGGGAGAAGAGTGTGGGGAAAATGAAAATAATTGACGCGTGCAGGACAGGGGAAACGGGAAATGGTAAGGAAGCAGGGGTGGTCACACAGGCCGAAACAGTAACACCATCAACCTGTCATACATGGCCACCGCACACTTTGACGCTGCACCACCCAGTGTCTACTGCACCTTCGCAGCACCCCGTGCCTGATGGACCCAGGTAACAGTGAGAGATTCTGCGGATAGATTAGGCAAGCTGGCGAAAGCGATGCTGGTTCTGCGGCCCACGGCTGGCGGAATTGCGCATGATGAACTTCGACCTCCCATCACACGCGGTACGATCCGACGGAAAGTGTGCCTCAAGCTTGCCCGAACTCTGCGAATGATGCATCCAATCATGTTCGATTGCAATGAACCCTGGCACGGCGACAGGAAGACAAACACAAAGACGGATGAAGTGAAGCACAGAGAAGGAGAGAGAAAGAGAGGGAGAAAAACAACATACGTATACAGCCATATATGCACATATACATTGTACATAGCATAGACACGTTAACCAATGTGGACCCACAACACTGCGCATCCAACAACTTATGTTGTGCAACATATGTCGTGCACTCTACGCAATGCAATCAATGTGCGTGCGTGTGGCGGGATATGTGCTGTGTGTTCCGTGTGGGTTGGTGCCATAGATCGTGTGCACTATATGCGGATCACTCTACGTGGTGCAGCATTCGTGGTGCATGAAATGTTGTGCACTGCGTGTGGGGCACCATGTGTGGTGCTGTGCGCGTTGTGCATTCCATGTTGTGCAATCTATGTTGTGCAATACCGTGTGCGCCTTAGTTGGGGAGTGAGATATGTGGAGCGATACAAGTATGCAAATGAATGTGGGGTGGAACCATTTGTGTTGTGCCACGCATATTGTGCAACCTACCTTGTGAAATCTGGGTGGTACAATCTACGCGGTACAACTTATGCGGTGCAACTGGTTTTAACAAACGTGCTGACACATTCCATGCTGTTGCACACATACCACCCACCCACCCGCAACTTTGATCGGGGCACTCAAGCCAATGGTATTGATAGGATTAAGAAGAAGAAGAGAAAAAAAAGAAGAAGAAAAATAACCACCACTGCGGACAGCTGTCCGGGCCTGCTCGAGACCTGGCGGGGGAGGCCGTAGCCTCTTCAAACCTGTACGTATGGACTACACGCGATCATGCATATGGACAGCGAGACAATAAAAACAAATCTGCGACGGAGGAGGGGGGGAGGGAAGTCCTGGATGTGGATGTCGGCGTAATGTCGTTACGTGGGGTGTGCGTACTGCCGTTCGAGTGTCGACCAGGTGGTGGTGTCTGGGGCCGTGCGAATCCAAGTGAAGTCGTTGGGTTGGCCTTTTGGAGTCGGCGTGGGCGTTGGATGCTGGTCGGGGTTGTTTTGTTGGAGGAACTTGACGAAGTCGTCTTCCCAGCGTTTTCGCTGGCCGCCTTGCTGTTGATGTCCGCGTTGGCGTGGGTTCTCTCCTGGTTGCCAGCGGAGTGCGCGCCGCGTCCACCTGGTGGGGTCATATTTAGCAACCCTCGACGCCATACGCCACGACTTCTGTCTGCGAGCCGTCTTCCAATTTGCGACTTGGCGGTGCTGCATGAGCTGCACTGCGCTCCGTGTTGCTCGCTGTATATACTCGACCCAGGGTTCTAGCGTGTCCTCGTTGTCGTCGTCATTGTCGTTGCTATCGCTGTGTGGGTCTGCTGCGTCTTGTTGTGCTGCGTGGCTGTCAGCGTCGTCGCTGCTGTCGGTTGCATTGGGGTCGTCGCCAGGTGCTTCGTTGGTCGTGCCGTCGTCCGTGCCGCTGTGGCTAACGTGAGGGATTGTGCTGCGAGTGGTGCGTCGCCGTGTCGTTCTGATGATCATGCGGAGAATGCGTCGTTGCGTTCGTCGCAAGTGATGCCGGAGAGGTTCCGTAACCGTCCAGGTCTCTGCTCCGTAAAGCGCCGTCGGTGTTACTGTGCTGTTGAAAAGCAGAAGCCTGTGCGCTAGCGGGTAGCGCTTGCTGGTCAGCTCCTGTTTGTGTGAAGTGAATGATGCCCATGCGGCTTTCGGGCGGTGGTGGATATCTGTCCCCGTCGCGTCGTGGAAGCTGATGAGTTGGCCGAGGTATTTGATGCTGCCCCCTGTGGCAAAATGTCGATGCCCATGCCCTCAACGCGCGCCGTGCGCGAGCTCGCCCTGCCGGTCCGTCTCGTTCGGTTGCTCAGTATCTTGGTCTTGGAAGGGTGCAGTTCGAGTCCGTGCGGTTGCGCCGCGCGCACAATATCTTCGAGCATCGATGTGAGGCGCGGGAGAATCTGGCTGGTTAAGAGCACGTCGTCAGCGAAGCGAAGGTTGGTGAGTGTGGTGGCGGCGGCTCGCCCCAGCTGAACGCCCTTGCCCTTCTTTTGCCATTCGGTGATCAGCGGTTCTAGGATGAATTGTAGAAGACAGTTCAAGAGGAGGGAGCTGAGCGGGTCCCCTTCTTTCGTGCCCCGTAAAAAGCTAAAGGCCCGGCTGGATACATCCGTTTTGACTGTGGTTTCCTGTCCCTCGTACATCTGCTGGAGTAGAGAAATGTATCCTGGCTGGACACCTTGCGCCTTGAACGCTGCCCCTATGCTCTCGTGTTCGACAGTGTCAAAAGCCTTTTTTAAAAGTCGAGCGCTGCAACCCACAAGTTCTGGTTCCATTCGTGCGCTCGCTCTCGAGGAATGTGAAGTGTGAGGAGTTGGTCGGTGGTCGAATGTCCTGGTCTGAAGCCTGTTTGGCCAGCTGTCTGTCGAGATTCGAGTGCCAGTTGGGGTCGGTTGTAAAGCAACCTGCTGACAAGCTTGTAAAGCAGCGGTATCGTGCATATACGGCGGTAGTTTTGAGGAAGCGTGAGATCCCCACTTTTTGGGACCACCGTGACAACAGTGCTCTTCCAGCTGGCCGGTGGCGGAGCGCTGGACTGCAGGATCGTGTTGTGGAGGTGGATCAATGCTTCTTTGAGTTCATCCGTGCCTTCTTTCAGCATCTCTGCTCTGACGCCCTTTGTGTCGGGAGCTCTGCCAAGGCGGAGCCCCTTGATCGCCCTGTCTACCTCTGCTTGTGTGAAAGGTGGGAGGTCGTCGTCGGGTCGTTCTCGCTGTGTCGACTCTGCCGTTGAATGGTAAACGTGCTCGTAAAATTCTGCGACAACGTCAGCAATGTCTTATATTGTCGTGCGTTTGGCGCCGTTTTGGTCTGTCATGTGCGTGATGAGAGTCCGCTTTCTGCGTGTGTCGATGCGCGTGGTGCTTTTCAAGTCTCTGCACTGGTCAATGCCGTAACTTATATGAGCTCGTCGTTTCCCCCGCTTCTGGCCGCGGATCTCCTGCTGTACAAGTTTGCTCAGCTGTTTTCGAATGTGATGGTCGTTGTTTGGTGTTTTCTGGCGCTGCTCCAGTAGGGAGAGCACTCGCTCAACTCCTCTGTCTGGCGGGCGGTCTCCAAGTGGCTCCCCGGCAGTGCTGGCAGCAACGGCCTCGATGATAACGTTTTGGATGTGGTCGTTCAGTGCTTGTGGGTCGGATGGTAGTTCCTTTGGATGCAGTCGTGGACGCTGGTGTTCGTGGTAAACGCTTGCGTTGGTGATTTGTCCCGTCGGCCGGGGTGCTGAATGTGAGTGCTGTGAAGTATGGGAATTTAAAGGGGCACGATAATGTAAGGGGGCACGGGGATGTGAGTGCTGTCGTTGCTTGTCGTCGTGCCGTGGCCGTTTCGTCACCGTGGATTCTGGTATTCTCAAGTCGGTGAGAACAGCCTTGTGGTCGGATCCCAAGTCGGACGTGTTGCTGGCCTCAGCGTTCGTGCAATGTCGGAAAAGCTTGCGGCTCAGCAATCTGTAGTCGAGCTGTTTCTCTTTGTCGCCACGTTATTTGCTTGTGCGCCGGCTTGCGGAAGAACGTGCTCGCGATTACAAGCCCTTCCTGTGCTGCCCAATGTCGTACCCAGGTGCCTCTTGAATTTTCGTTCCCATAACCGTGGCGGCCAACGTATCTTGACGTGACATTGTCGTCGTCGTCGTTGTCGTTGTCTGCACAAATGGCGGGTGCCCCAACCTGCGCGTTGAAATTGCCGGCGAGAATGATGTGACGTCGTGTTTTGATGCTCTCCCTGTGGATCTCATGGATGGCGTCGTAAATGCGCTGAACGTGCGGGTCGCTGTAACCAGAGTGTGGGAAATACGCAGACACCAGCTGCAGTTTCAGCCGCCCCTTCTGCAATGACATTGTGGCCAGTCTCGGCGTAAGTGCTGGGAATTTCTGTATCTGTTTGCCCCAACTCTTGTGCACGAGAATTGCAACTCCGTGACACGTCCGGTCGTTGCCTGATCCAGCGAAAATGTGTCCCTCCGTGGTTGTCCATAGCTCCGTCGCCGTCGTTCTCCACGTCTCATTGATGAGCACGAAATCCCAACGTATGCCGTCAAGGTCTGTGATAAGCTCTTGAATTCGGTCGTCCGTCGTGAGCGACCGGGCGTTTTTGTGAATGACCGTCATGACAGTGGGGGGGAGGCAGAGGGGGAGGGAGAGGAAGGGAGAGGAGGGGAGAGGGGAGGCGGGGGGGGAGGGGGGGAGGGGAGGGAAAGGGAAAAGGAAAGAGGGGGCAGGGAAAGGAGAGGAGAGGGGAGGGCCAGGAGGGGGAATGGGAAGCCGCTGGAACTGCCTGAGTTGGTCGGTGGGGTCGCTGCTGGTCGGTGTGGGTCGGTGTTGCTTGCCGTGGTGCTGTTGGTCGGTGGTTGTCGCTGCTCTGTGGTAGTGGTTGCTGGTCGGGTGGAATCGTTGCTGCTTGTGGTGGTGCTGCTGGTCGGCGTTGGTCGGTGGCGAGTGTTGTCTGGAGGTGTTGGTCGGTTGGGGTCGGTGCTGCTGGTGGTGTTGCTGGTCGGTGGTCGGCGCTGGTCGATGGAATGTGCTGGTCGGGTGGGGTCGGTGCTGCTTGCGGCGGCCCAAAATTTAGAAATCTGTTTTGAATGTGTTTGATGATGTGCTGTCTTGTTTTGATTCGGCGGGGCAATTCAGTCCATTCGTTGCTTGTTTTCGTGAATCCTGCTTTTTTTGGCTCAACAATTTGTTTGAGGTCCGCGCGCGCTCATTCACTACCATGATTTACGCTCGCAGGTGAAACTTGGCTTGCAAACCCCACGCGGTGGCGATTTCGCGCAGCAGCCAACTACATTGGGGCGACCGACGCGGCCGCGGTGACGCTGACCGCTGGGCACATCCCAGCGGGCACTTCACTGCGAGTCGGCGACTTGGGCGGGCGCGGTATCATGGCAACGTCGACAACAGTAGACGCGATGATAAAAGTAGCGATGCTGGCGACGATGTTGGCAACGACGAAGGCGCGGCCAGTACGGGCGCCGATGATGATCACGCCGACGACGATGACGGCGTCCTCGCAGCGGCGATGCAGGTTTTGGAGAATTCGACATGCGCGCGCGGCCGACGCGCGAAAGTGGTCCGCATGGTAGGTCTTTGACACGGATCGTGCCCCCCGAGCACGCAAGGGCGCGCGAATGATGTCGGCATGCGGCGCGAGAGGCCGGTTCGGCAGAATTCCATGAACACGTTGAAAGAAACAATGGTTTTTCTCGAGAACGCACAGGAGCGCGAGCGCGCGTATCTTTGGAAACTATTGTTGCGAAGCCATGTGTTGTAGTATGTGTGTTGGACAGCCGGTCTTGAAATGCTACGACACGGGAGGTTTTTGACGGATTTCGGCACACGCGCGCGCGACGACGCGCGCGCGCACTTTGTCCTATTTGGTGCAGCGGGTTCTCGCGACGGCACGCGCGCACTGACGTTCGAACGATTTCGACATTCGCGCGCGAAGCCCGTTTGGTAGAATTTGCTGGATCTGCGGATGAGAACAAATTGTTTGTATATAAAGAATTTGCAGACGATCCTGCACAAATTATTTTTGTTTGAAAACCCGCGTTGCGAAAACATTTGGTTTTAAATGTTTTTTGGAGCTCTCGATGTTGAAAGCCTTCCGAAAGCAACGGTTGTTGAAGGATTTCGGCATGCGCGAGCGACGACACGCGCGTGCGCACTTCGTCCTATGTGTTGCTGGAAAGTATGGGAAACTGCTGTTTTTTTTTTCCATCAACAAATATGCGCGCATACGATTTGTTTCCAAGGATGGCGGGGGTGACCAAAACCGGTTGGGTTGGGATGGTACGAACTCATATTTAAGAGGAACGATGGGGCAACATCGTATTTAAATTGAAACACCAAAAAACGGGTGCCGATAATCCCACAAAGGGTGGGGTGGAGTCTATTCTCCTTTTAGAAAGGACACTCAGTTTGCGCCCGCAATGAATGTCAATTCCATTTATCGCGCAATCACCCCACCCACCTACCCGCAAATAGGTGAGCAAAAGCCATGCGGCGGCGATTGCGATGAACGTTTAATATTGGCTGGTGCATCCCTGCGGCCGCGCTAGCCCGCGCATGCTCGCGCGCTTACCTGCCAGCTACTGTGGCGCGACAACCGTGGCCGCGGTGGCGCTTACCGCTGGGCACATCCCAGCGGGCACTTCATTGCGAGTCGGCGACTTGGGCGGGCGCGGTATCATGGCAACGTCGACAACGGTAGACCCGGTGATGATAGCAGCGCTATTGCGACGATGGTAACAGCGGCGACGGAACGGCCAGTGTCGGCGCCGATACTGATCACGCCAATGACGATGACGGCATCCTCGCGTCGTTGCTGCAGGTTTTGGAGGGAGTTCGACGTGCGCGCGCGGCCGACGCTCGAAAGTGGACCGCATGGTATTATTTGACGCGGAGCGTACCCTCCCAGCGCGCGCGCAAGGGCGTTCGAATGATTTCGCCATGCGGCGCGAATTGCTCGGTTGGCAGAATCAAATGAACATGTAAACAAAACTGTGAAGGTTTTCTCGGAGCTTCGAAAGAACTTGAGCGCAGCTTTTTATACATTGAAGAACGCTGTGGCGGAATGATGTGTGAATATTTGTGTTATGGACATTCGATTTTGAAACCCATACGAAACCATATTTGTTGGAAGGATTTCGGCATGCGCGCGCGACGGCACGTGCACACTTCAACCCATGGTTTGCAAACTGATTCTCCCGAGAGCACGCGCGCAAGGACGTTCGAACGATCTCGACATGCGCGCGCCCGAACCCCGGCAGCATTCTCTGAACATGTTGAAAAACGAGTGGTTGTTTTCAAAGAACTCCCAAGACCGCGCGCTAACTTTTTTGTGAACATTGCGAAACCATTTGTTTCTATGTGGTTTCGAACACCCGAATCCAAAAACCTTACGACACCGAGAGTTTTTGCAGGTTCTCGGCACGCGCGCGCGACAACGCGCGCGTGCACTTCGTTTTCTTGTTTGCAAGGAGTTCTTGAAAACTGATGATTGGTGATGGGCGGGTGCACGCGCGTAGGATTTTTTGTTGCAAGGGATGGCGGGGGGGCGATGCCGATTGGGCTGGGACGGTACGAGTTCATATTCAGGATGGACGACGGTGCGCAACCAAATGCACAGTGGAATACAAAAAAAGGGAACCGCAAATCCCCGGGTGGGTTAGAATCCATATTCTTCAACGACAGGAGAATATACGTGGTGCAGTATCTGTTGTGCCATGTATGTGGCGCAAAGCGGCGTAATGCAGAGGGCGACAACCACCATAACCGCCAGACCACCACCCAGGCCAAAACGACGGTTTGCGGCGAGGGAGCGGCGGGGCGGCGACGGCGACAACGCAGCCGCCAGACCCGCAATCAGGCATGTAAGACGGGCGGTGGCGAGGCGGCGACGGGGCGGCGACGGCGGCAACATTGCCGCCAGACCGGAAATTAGGCGCAGTTCCAGAACAGAAATAAGAACCCCTAAGTGCGAACACGGTTTGGGGAAAAGATACACATATGTATATACGTAAAAATACACTGAGAGGAAGAGAGAAGAGAGCAGCAGAGAGAAAGAGAGAGAGAGAGAAAGAAAGAGAGAGAGAGAGAGAGAACGATCGTAAGAGAGAGAAAGAGAACAGACGGAGATAGAGAGATAGCGAGAGAGGGAGGGAAAGCAAACAGAGAGGCAGCGACCGAGCGAGCGACCGCGAGAGAGCGAGAGACGACGAGAGCTAACGCGTAAGACGAGGGAACATACTTGCAACATTTGCCGCCACCAGCGCGTGGAACAGCCGAGCTCGCGGCAGATGCACAGCCAAACCCTGGCCACTTGCCACGACAAGTTTCCGGCGCAAAGAGGCGCCGCCCGCGCCAACCTCCGCGCGCGCACGCTGGCGGGTCCCAGCGGCCGGGCCGGGCGGGCGGACCCTCACGAGCGTGGGCGGGCGGAACGCCAAAACGGGCGGGCGGGCTTGCTGCAAGCCAGAGGGCAGGCACGCGCGAGTCGTCGGGCGGCCCCTGCCGATCGGATCAAAAGTACGGAACGTTACACCCGGGTCGGGCGTACCGGGCGCTGAAACAGGAAGCGAAACCGACTGGACAACCATGAAATCGAACTAGACCTCGTGGCCTGCAGGTCCAGCTGCGCACTTCCTCCCTGTGAGGAGTACCTTTGCCGGCGTGGAAATTGCCGCGCGGCTCTGAGGTCCAACCTGCAGGGTAAGGCTCAGGGAAACAGTCGACAGGACGCCGAACGTAGGCGAGGGCGCGCGAGTTGGAGGCGAGTGATGTTGCGACGACTGTTCGGGCAGAGAATGCGGGCTAGACTGCGGCGGCGCGGACTGGCATGGCATGCAGGCTTTTTGCTGCTGTGCACATTGAGCGAACATGGCGGCCGATCAGCGTAGGGAGATGCGATAGAGCCAAGCCCAGCCGCCCCCCCCCTCGCGAAGGGTGTGGGCGGGGTCCTGGGGGTTCTGACTTCCCCCTGGGGGGAGCACCCCGCCCTGGGAACTGTCGGCTCCAGAGAATCAGCGTCGTCGCCATCGTCGCCGCCGTCGTCCCCCTTAAGGGTCGGCGGCACCGGTCGCAAGGCTTTCGCAATAGAGGTAAGCGAAACGAGCCAACTCCAGCCGCCCCCCCCCTCGCGACGCGTCGAGGTTGGGCGTGTGGCACATGCTCCTGCGGCGGCGCGGGCGCACGCGCGGGCGCACGCGCCTCTTCTCCCGCCGTGGTCGCCGCGCGCGCACGGGCGGGCGGTCGAGAAGGGGCACGCGTGCCGGGGCGGCGCAGGCTGCGCACCCACGGGCCCCGAGGGGCCCAGGGGGGAGGAGAGCGAAGGAGCCGAGTGGAGGCCTTTCAACTGGAATCCACATGTGGATGTGGTCGGCGGATCGCGCAGCATCGCCGATGCATCGGAGCCGTCGGCGTGGAGACAATCTGGCTCCACATCGAACCGCATCGCCGATGGATCGGCCTGGACCTTGGGAACCCTGCTATCAAAGATAGCACCGCAAGACCTCCAACATGCCCCCAAGTCCGCCGACCCTGTCGGCATGTGCGAGGGGCTTCTCCGTTCGAGTTCTCGTTTCAGTCGTCTCCTCGTCGTCTTCGTTGTCGTCACAGTCGCCTCCTTCCGTTTCCCTGAGCCTTCCGTTTCCCTGAGTCCTTCCTTTCAAAGCGAAATTGTACAACGTCGTATTGGAGTCGAAGGGTAGCCCCTTCCCTTGATCCCTTCCCCGCGAGGGGGGGGAGCCCGGTGGGGGGTCCCGGGGAGGGGTCGCCACACAGATTCGCTTTCCCCCGGGCGGCCCTGACAGATCGAACAGCCCCCCAAAAAGCCCCGAATGCTCAAGGAGGCTCCCAAGATTGCCCACAAAGGCCCCGCGTCGCTCAGCGATCGGCCCAACACGGCAAAGATGGCCCCAAGACGATCCAAGAAGCCTCCTATACGTCCCAGGAGCTCTCCAAGAACACCCCAGCCAAGGCTCCCAGAGACTCATCCCCTCCTCCTGCTCTCCCTTCTCCTCCTCCTCCTCCTCCTCCGCATCTGTCCCCCTCCTCTTATCCTCCTCCTCCTCCTCCTGACCTCCCTCTTCTTTTTATTCCTCGTCCTTCTGTTCGTCCTCCTTTTTTCCACCTCCTCCTCATCTTTTCCCTCCTCTTTATCCTCTTCCTACCCCTCCTCCTCTTCCTTTTCCTCCTCACCCTCATCCCTCTCTCAGGCAGGATAAGCCGCAGCGAAAGGAGACAACAAACGAGAAGGAGAGAACGGCATGGACCATGGATGGTGCCCTGCTCCACGCCCCCCTCCTCCTAGTCACCCCTCATTCTCTTCCTTCTCCTCCTCATCCTCATCCCTCTCTCCCTCCTTTCGCCCGCCAGGAGCACGAAGGGAAGGAAACGCAGAGGAGCCGGAAAGTGAGTCGCAGCTCTCAGGACGCGAGCCCACGAAGGGGGCAGAAGAGGAGGCAGAGCGGAGCGAAGGAAAACGCGACAGGCCGAGCAGAGCGGAGGACACGGAGGAGGCAGGATAAACGCAGCAACATAAGAAAACAACCGAGAAGGAGAAACCCCACCTCCCCCCCCGAGATCCTCCTCCTCATCCTTCCCCCCCCCCCCTCCGCCTCCCTCATCCACCTCCTGCACCCCATTCCGCATCCTCCTCCTGCCACTCCTCCTCCTCCCCCTGCACCCCCTCGTCCCTTTCATCTTCGTCGTTTTCAGGGTCGGCGGCGCCGGCCGTAAGGCCTTCGCTAGTCCCCCCAGAAGCGCCCTCAGAGGTCCGAGTAGGCACAGGGTTCCAGGAGCGCCCCCCAAATCCAGCCGAACCCGGCACCAGTGCGTGCACCTTTCCTGGCCGTGCCAGCCCGTTGGGCCAGGCCGCGCGGACAGGTCACCGAAGGTCGCGCATCATCGCGCCCGCGCCCGCGCGCCGCCGCCCCAGAGAAGGGCGCCACTCCAGCACTCTCCAGCCCGAGCCTCGGCGGGCGAAGCGTGGTTACCTTCGCGCCCGTTTCGGGTGACTTGGCCGACGGCGGGCGACGAAAGGGGCGGCGCCGGCGGCGGATTCAGAGTGCGACGTCGGGGGCGGACCGAGGACCGAGGATCGGGCCTTTTGAAACGCCTTCGGCCCAGCCTGGGTTTCTGGAGTGGACGTCCAGAGGGGGTCTCTAGTCTAGGCTTTGCCAAAGACGTGTAGCTTTCGGGGGCGAGTCTGGTACAATTTTCTGTGGTGACGGGTGCGCCTGATGCGGGCCAGCACCAAAGCAGTTGTGACCCCGCCCGAACCACCAAAACAGTCGTGGACCCGCCCGAACCCAAGACCAGGACCTCCCTGGACCGTGCTAAAATATTGTTCGTCTTCCTCCCCATCTTCTCTAGCGCCGTCCCACAATCCCCGCAACCGCGCCACCCCGCCCGTGCGCGCGGCGGGAAACGCACGGGACCTCCAGACCACAAGGGAAACGGTTGTCCGTTTCGGGGGGAGGAAGCCGCCTCCTCGTGAAGAGGTTGTGGGCGGGGATGAGAAGAGCGGCCGCGCCGATGACATGTTCGTGCTGTTGGTAACGGCAAGGCGCACTCGAGGTACGCGTGCGTCGCTGAAGTCAGAATGCGCAGGTACAGGCGCGCCTATTTCACATCATGAGAACCGCAGTCAACATCGCAGTGGGAATCTGCGTAGGCAAGAGCTCGGCATGAACAAGAAATAATGTGCTGTAATACCGTAGCTTGCGGCTTCCAGCAAGCCGGTCTGCATCCGATCGTAAACTGCACCGAACACGCCTTAGCCCTGAACGCGTCATGGAAACCAACTGCAACCCTTGGCTGATATTCGGAGACCTCGACATCGCGTAAACACTCGAGCGCGCACTCATGTTACAACCGACTCGTGGTGCATGCAGGCGGCCGTTTCTTGGGTTACTTGCCTTTGGGCCCGACGTTGATACGCTTGACGCTGGTAGCCACCGACCCCGATCGAAGTGCACAGTGCTCCGCAGCGGCATCCCACGCGCCCAAGGTACCCTCGAGGCCATTCTGGCGCTTCTGGCGCTTAAGCCCGTTATTTCGGCCTGGCGCAGGGCGCGGACAGCCCGCGAGGGCGCGATGCCCTCGAGGCTATTGCGCGCTTCCTTCTGGCGATAATTCGGGCCGGCGTTCAAGCCAGCTCGAGCCCGGCAAGACGCGGCGAAGCAAAGGAAGTGGGGCGCGGCGCGCTCATCCGCGCTGCCTGCCAACCCCTGCCAGAAACTCGGCGGAGCAAGCTTGGGAGTCGCGGCGCGCCCCCCTGCGACGCGGCCCAGTTCGCGCGAGGGCGCGGCGAGGCACGCGAAAAGGGAGGGGGCGCGGCGCGCCCCGCCCCAGCAAGGCAGGCCCAGACAAAGCGAGACAAAGCGAAGGGGGGGAGGGGCGCGGTGCGCCCTTTCGCAATGCTCGCCCATGCCTGGCAAAACGCGGCGAAGCAAGACGGAGCGGGGGGGGGCGTGGCGCGCCACCCCTTGCAATGCAAGCCCACCCTTGTCAGCGGGCGGCGATGCAATAGGAGGCGTGCGGCGCGGGGGGGGCGGGGGCGGCGCGCCCCTCTCAATTGCTCAACTGCCCCTGCTACGGCGCGGCATAGCAAGTGGAGGGGCGCGGCGCGACCGCTTGCAGCGCGGGCGCGTTCATTCTAGAACGCGACGAAGTAGGCGGGGGAGGGGGGGGCGCCCCTGTTCTCGAGGGCGGGGGGTTCTGGGGCGGCGGTCTGGGGCCCGCGCCGCGGCGGCATTTCGCGCTCTCGCCTCGGCTCCGCGCATCTGTTTCGCGGTGTTCTCGCCTCGGCGCCGGGTGCATTGTTGGCAGCGCCCCGATGGCGAGTCGAGCCTCGTTGGGACTGCAGAGGTCGGCGGGGCCTGCGCGCGGCGTCCGCCGTCTCCGTCGGGGTCGGCAGGGCCTGCGCGCAGCGTCCGCCGTCTCCTAGGATCTCCTTCTGTGTATTCCTCAGGAGGGATTCCTGAGTAAGAATTGCAATAAACATTCCTCATTCATTGTTCCCTGATGCATATTCCTTCGCACATATTCCTGAATAGCGAACCCTTCGTAAAAGGTGCTTGATGAAGATAGTGCAATAACGATGCCTTAATCGAGGTTCATGAGTTTTTATTCCTTGGCAATGATTCCTCACTGACGATGCACAGGTTCGTGATGAAGAATTCCTTCGTACATATTCCGTAATGCAGATTTCTTCGTGCATGTTCCTTACTGCAGATTCTTAGCGGAGGATTCCTCAATGAGGATTCCTCAATGAGGACTCCTTATATTGAGGCTTCTTCAATGCACGCCCTTCACCGACGATTCCTCAGGGTCCACGCGTGGAGAATATTGAATCTAGATTCCTGAGCCGGGATTCCATCATGCATTTTCCCTTTTAAGGGCCCCTTAATGAGGATTCCGTCGCATGGGGCATTGGCGAAGCTCCCAGACGAAGGGTTCCTGAGTGAGGACTCCTGGGCAAAGATTCCTGGGTGAGGAAGCTTCAATAAGGATTCTTCCATGCGCACCCCTCAAGACAGATCCCTGAATGCAGATTCCTTGGCACATAGCTCTTGCGAGCGATTCCTTCGCCAATGTCCTCTAGTGCGGATTTCTTGGTGCGGGTTTCTTCATGCAGGTTGCTTTAATACATACTCCTTAGTAGCGACTCTTTAATATGCATTGCGAGCGAAGATTTCTTGCTAAGGATTATTTGGTAATGGTTCCAGAGAAAGGATTCTTCAGCAAAGCGCCTTGACCACGGATTGCTGTGTAACTGTTCTCTCGCGCAGTTGCCTGGTTAACGTCTCCGTAGTAAATCTTACCGTCTACGGATTTCTTCGCGAAGTTTTCTCACTCGGAGTTCCTCTGTAAATATTCAATACCAAAGACCCCTTGATCACGATTCCCGATTAAGGGATCGTCAGAACTTCCGACGAAGGATCTCTTATATCATATGTATTATCAATGAGTCCTCAGCCACGGTTTCTAATGCGGACCCCCCCCCCCCTCCCCCATGGAGATTCCTCGCGCAACTTCGGGGATATTCCTTGCGAACATGCGGCTTTGCTGTTTTAAAACATCTCTCGCAAAGGATTTATGAGCGAAGGTTCCTCAGCCAGGATTCCCCGAGGATACTTATTCAAGCAAGGTTTCCTTAGTCATGTAAA